AGGCAGGCAGCCAGGCAGGCAGCCCAGGACTCTGAAATGGACACACGCCGCGTACTTACTCCGTGCCGAGCCTGGGCGGCGCTCCCATCCCGAGTTGGGTACCGCTGCGGCCCTGGCGGGCAAAGGCTGGAGTCGGGCTTTTCCCGCCCTCCCATTAGCGCCTAGGGCCCGCACCTGAGGTCTGGTGCGCGCGCACCTGTAATTAGGGACACCTGGGCCCAGAGAGCACGGGGTGCGCATCTGTGTACGTGGGGACACCTGTGCCCAGGGGTGAGGGGTGCAAGGTCGGCATCACTCGGGGGCAGCCAGAGAACTGGGAGAGAGCTGGTCTATCCCCTGACTCAGAAGTAAAGGCTGTGAAAATGGACTGAAGCCTTCAGAATTATTTTTTCATCTGTGAGAATTGAAGATGAAGCCACCCGGCCTGGGAGAGTTGAAAAACAGACCCCCTCCCCCCTTTTTCCAACTAGGAAATAAATTCGGGGAAGTGAAGTGACTTTCCCAAGGTCACACAGCTGGAGCTGGGAGGCAAAGCAGGACCTGAGCTCACGCCGCTGCCCTCCCGCCGGGGACTCGGGACTCGGGCTCGGTCAGCGCAAGGGGTTTCACCTGCAGCACAGACCTCTCACCCACCAGGCCTGCAGCCCTCACTTCAAGGCAGCAGCCAGCTTGCCTCGTACCAGAACAGCCTGCCATCCCTCACACAAGAAACCAAAATATTTGTCTTGGTCCAGGTTCCCAGACGATGCTCTTGGGGCCAGACAAACTGGTTCCAAGGATGTGAGGACAGAATGTGTGGGAACCCTGGACCGCAGGCCAGAGGGACACGGGCACTGGCAGCCTGGGAGGCTGGTTCACGGAGGCTGTGGGCAGGGAGGTGCCTCCCCAGGGCCAGGCAGACCCCCTGAGGCTGGTATCTCTGGGGGCTGCCAGGCAGTGAGTGGGGGCAGGGCCCCAGTGACAGGCTGGGCCCCTCAGCCAGGACCCCTCAAGCTCTCCACACCTTTGTGTGTAAAGTGGGGACAAAGGTCCCTGCCCAGGGCCATTGTGAGGCCTGGGGAGAGATGAGGGAAGCATCTCCAGGACCGCAGCAGGCATTCGATTCTGGTACAGACCCCAGAAAAGCACACAGGGCCTCCCCCTCCCCCGCCAACACAAACCAACGTCCAGGACAGCCCCATGCCCAGGCCAGGGTGAATGAGGTCTGGGCTCGGCCAGGGTCTCTCGTGTGGCGGTGTCTCGGCCCCCAGGTCCTTTTGGGGACATTTTGGTTCACGACTACGGGACCCCACTCACAACCCCTGGGGCAAGGCCACGGAGCTGCTGCACAACCACAAGGCATAGCACACACCTGCGCAGCCCTGCGCCGAGGCTGAGCCCCTGGGGGAGGCGAGTCCTGGTCACCATGGTCCCAGCTGGGGAGAGGCCCGCGACCAAGCGACGGCTGGTGCGGCCTGGGAGCGGGTGGCAAGGGGCGTCCGGGAGGACAGGACAGGAAGGCAGTCCACCACGCCACTCTGCTCCCTCTCTCCCTGAATGGGGCGTGCTCCTTGGCTGCCCTGCTAGGCTAAGGCATCAGCACCCAGGGGAGAGGTCAAGGCCACAGAGAGGCAAGGCCTGGCCCTGACTCCATCCATCACTAAACCAGGGCCCAGAGCCGCCTGTCCACTTTAGAAAAAAGGAAGTCGTTTCCCCATGGCCCGCAGGGGCCTCTGTGCTGCCACCTGACCTGACCCCCTTTGCGCACTGACCTTGGGCAGGCCTCTACAGAACGCCCCCAGGGCGCCTCCTGTCCGGGCCCCTCTGTCCACGAGTGCCCCCATCTGCCTGACCCTCACCGCCGTCCCGGAGTCTTGGCCCCCCTTTTCCAAAGGTGCCCTCTCCGCAGGCCTCCTCCCCGTGGGCCCCACAGAAGCCCAGGGGGTCCCTGAAGAGGAAGGAAAGGAGCTGGCCTCCCTCTGCTTCGTGGTATTTTTTAATGACATTTTCAACATTTTAAAGAAATCATCTGAAAGATCCCTCTTTAATAAATAACATTCCTCTCATGTACAAACTTAGATTTTACAAATGAAACAAGTCTTTCCAAACCAGCTCTGCCCAATCCTGGGGGGTTTCTAGGGCAGGCCCCCTCCAGAGAGTCCGGGCACCCCTCTCGGCGGGCCACGGGGTCAGGAGTCCACACCCCGCATGGCAGCCACGGTGGTGGCCAGGCGGCGGGGCAGGCCCTTGCTGGCCTGTCTGTACTCCTCGGGCTTGGCCTTCAGGAGCGTGGCGATGCTCTGGAGCATGCGGGACGGCTGCAGGCCCAGGGCGTCCATCACGTTGATCAGGTAGTCTGTGGGAGGGAGCAGAACAGCCCGCAGACTCAGACTCGGGACAGGAATCCCAGAGGCCTCCCTGAGCCAGAAACAGAGCTGCCCGCCAAGGCCTCCCTCAGCATGTAGGCCTTCGCCCTGCAGGCGTTTCAACAGGGTCACACCTGCCTGCGAGCTTGGCCAGTCCAGGAATTCCACCCCCGCCACCCCGCATCTCTCCAGCCCCCATCCGAAGGGCCAGCTGACCTCACCAGAGCGCCACCCTGGGGACTCCTGGCTTCTGGGTGTCCCTCCCAGGGTGCCCACTGACCAGGTAGACAGGAGGATGTCTGAGCGTAGACACGCCCCAGCAGAACCCTGTCACGGGGACCCACCGATGTCGGTGGCCAGCTGCTTGGTAGAGTGCGGGGTCAGCTCAGGGATCTGGAGGATGACGTCACAGTAGGTCTGCATCGTGGCTCTGGCGATCGAGCCCAGCCAATTGTCAGCCATGTTGTCCAGCTCGGGCAATTCATCCCCTGGAAAGGGGCAGGGCGTCAGCGGAGAAACCACCTGCTCAGGTGGCTGCTACGGAACCTGTGGCCCATGACAGGTGCGCTACGCACACGTGCCAGGGAGCTTCCGCTCTCGATGGGAAACGGGGGAAGGACAATGACCTCTTCGGTCAGCTGGACTTGAGTAAGCACAGTGAGGAATCAGATAAGCAGTCAGAGGCAGAGTAACGTCAGTGTCCCCACAGCCCGAGGACGGCTCCACAGCAGCACCCCGGCCGAGCCCGGCTGAACTTGGTGTCATGGGCACCAAGGTGCCAGTGCACCTGATTGTGGGAGGGGCCAGCAGGTGGACGGGCAGCCACACCCACTACACCCCACCCAGGCCGCCGTGGGCACCATGGCGGAACACAGTTCTTCCCTCTACCGCGCACAGCGACAGCGGCCACAGCGGCCTTGTTTGCCTGAGGCTTCATCACCCACATGTGACAGGGGGCCACTGCAAAGCCTTGGGAGCACGAGAACGGGGCACTGCACCTGTTACCAACACCCCCGAGAGAGGATGGGGAGCCAGGGAGGAGCCAGCGAGAGAGCGAGGGGCTGCGGGGCTGGGAGGTGCAGGTGCTGCCTGCCGGCCCCGCTCCCCGTTCCCTGGGCCCTGCCAGGGTTAAGGCCTGCCCAGGCTGCCGAGGGCCCGAGATCCTTCCCACCCGCCCATGGCAACCGCGGACGAAGGCGTGAATGAAAACGATGGGACGCTGCATCTCTGTGCACGCAGGTATGCGTGGCACCAGGCAAGACAGTGGGTCCTTCCGGCGGGATCGGACAAGAGTTCCTGCAACAGTTTCCCTGCCAGACGTGGGCCTGCATCTAGCCCTCACAGGGGCGAGGCAGACCGCAGTACTTACAGGGGAAGTCGGGGGCCCTGACCTAACGTCCCCGCCGCGGCCGCTTCCCAAGTGGGCTGGCAGGGACGGGGCTTCCCTGCACGGCGCCCACCACTTTCGTGTGTATAAAAGTATCTACGAAAAAGTGTCTTTAGATTATTTTAGACTATTATTTTAGATGATTTAGAAAGCATCTTAGCAGGCGGATGAAAATGATCACTTTATGAACCAGGAGCCCTCCAGTTACTAGGCTAAGCAGTTGGGCTATGTGGCTTTTTCATGCCCAACAGAGAAATGTGTCCTTACGTACACATTTTTTAAAAAGGACGATCCAGACGGCCACTGAGCAAAAGAGCAGCAGCCGGCCCGACCCGCGCTCCCTGCCCAGGGCCGCGGCACCAGCCTGGCTCGTATTGTTCAACCTGCTCTCAGCTGTTACAGGCATCTGCATGTGTGGAGTACAGGGGCCGGGTTTTGGCAAAAGTAAGAAAAACACGTTGTTTTGCACCTTGCTGTTGCATCTTAATATTAAAGACGCGTATGTGTGAAGGCCTCATGTTCAGTCCCACTTAGCCTCTGATTTGACTCAACAGCATCTGACAGCCGCATGGGCTCCGGCTTTCTGTCTGCTCGCATTGACATACATGGGCTGGCAGCGTCCTTTATCTTAACCTTTAAATATAGTTTTATTTTCAGTGTGGCACCGCCTCTCCCACCGCTGAATCTTGCAATAGTAAGTGCTTCTGCTTGCTTGTGCCTACAAACTTTAACACCCAACATTGGGAGTTACAGAGATTTTGATCAGAGCGCTATGCGGTATCTGCTCAAATCTGGTAGCCCCAGATAATGAGAAGAAACAGTTCATGGACCGTGTGGAGCCCACAAGTGCTGGGAGTTGGGGCGAGCTACCCCCAGACCCAGAGGGGTCTGCACAGGACATGTCGCCTCCGTGCTGCGTCTGTCCTAAGAGCCACGCTGCAGAGGCGTCACTACTCAGCACGGGGCCGGCCGGGGGCGAGGGCTGGCTCCCGGGCTGGGTCCTCGCCTCGCCTCGAGAGTTTGCGTCTGCCTCCCACCTCCGACCTCCCACCCGACCTCCCACCCGTAGTGCTTACAAGACCCCCTGGGGCAGGCGGGGTCTCCTGCATGGTGCCCAGGCTGAAGGGCGCAGGTGGGGTTCACTGCAGGTGCCCTGCTCCCTCCCCAGGGACGGCTGCACTTGGTGAGATCAAGGCAGGGCGGCTCTTTCGCCAACACTCTGTCGTGCAGGGGAGCTAGGCCCTGCAGGCAGACCCCAATCTTTCTCTGCTGCTATTTCTTCCTGTAGCGGGGGTGTCAGTGGGGGCATGGAGACGTGTGTCTTGGGGGGAGGGGCTGAAAGGGACAGGGACAGCCCTGGGCCCACTGCGCCTATCCCTGCAGGAGCTTGCTCACCTTGCTCGGGAGGAAACGGCAGCTTGCCGGCGTGCAGGGCGAGCTCCAAGGCAGAGTCCTCCTGAGTCACGAAGGGCTCGAGATTCAGGGGCAGGGACATGATATACTGGCCGATCTGAAACAAAAGCAAGCGCGTCAGCCCAGGCTGGCTCCGCGGGGACGAGCACGGCGTGTTCCTGGCAGGTGTCGGCGAGGCCGGACCACAGGCGCAGGGCCCGGCCTGCCTCCCTGTCTGGGGACACTGGATACAGCAACCCCTTGAAGGAAATCAACGGTACTGGCACGGAGCGCGTGGGCTCACCCCTCTCGCTGGCGCCCCCGTCCTCGGAATGCGACCTCTCCCTCAAATGTCATGGACACCAAAGTAAATTTTGCAAAACTGAAAGCGCCTGTGCAAACACAAGTGGTTAATGCTGCTCACAGACGAAAGGTACACAAGCGGCGGCCGGTGCCAAGCGCTCGCGAGCTGCAGTCCTGCCTTCGGGACTTGGCCTCCTCCTTCCCGGTGACTTACCCCAGAGAAGGAAGGAAGTTTTTCTGGGGAGAAAAAAGCCACTTCCAAGGGTAGCTTAATCTGAAGAGGAAATGACGACGTTTTCATGATACGAACTCTGGGAAATGAAGACCAACAAAACCCGGCGGGCTGGTGGGGAGCCGCGGAAGGCGGAGCTACGAGAGCGGACGCGCCCACACGCAGCCGGCGCCACGGGGCCTGACGCCTGTTTCCGCTCCACTCACACGGCTCTGTGCGAGGGCAAGCGTGTGTTCTGCTCCAACATAAGGTTGATTTTTCAGTTATCACGACGTAACATAATGTGTTTTTCCTGGAGCCTGCTGTCTTGGCTCCACCTTTCTCCGTCTGTTCACCTGCTCTTAGAGCCGACGCTGACTCTGCAGGCTGCAGCCCGCTGAGAGCAGGTAAGCTCTTCCTCCGGCCTCGCTCGGCCCTGTCGGGGCGGGCGCCTCTTAGAGACGGTCCGGACGCAGAATCCACAGTCCCCAGCCCGGAGGACGACAGCCAGGCGTGACAGCCGCCTCCCAGCACTGGCGCGGCCTGGCCGTGGGAAGTCTCAACATGCAACGGTCCAGAGGTGGCTTGTTTGGCTCCCTGACAGCGGTGCACAGATGGCAAAATAAGCCGGGTCAGCCTGTCCCTCGCGCGTTTCCGTGGTGCAGCTGTCCGCTCAGCCAGGCGAGAGGTCATTATCACTGTCACAAGCAGCACTGCCCATTGGGGCTGGAAAATGGCCACAAATTCATCATTTTTCCAGAGGACGAGTGGAAGAGAAGGATACTAATTTCTACGGTTAGAATTGCTCCAGTTTTGTTCAGGCTTTAAAATTATTTGTGTAGTTTTAAAATTGTGTGTTCCAAAATTTAGAATGATTTGAACAGACCAAAAAAGACCCTAGATGAAACCTTGTTTCCTGGCCGCAGGAGCAGCAGGCTTTTGCTCTGGGCCCATGCCCTCGCCCAGGTCCCTCCTTCACGTGGGACAAGCTCCCTCCCTTCCCTGCCTGGGACAGGTGTGGCCCCGCCCCCGCAGCTCCTGGTCCCATCTCCATCTCCATCTCCATCTCACAAGGCACAGGCATCTCCATCTCGCAGTCTGCGAGGCGCAGCCCGGCAGCCTCGGAGGCTGAGCAGACCCGCCTGCAGCCCGCTGCACCGCCCACTTCGTGTCCTGTCGCAGAGCTTCTTTCCACGGTGGTGGCTTTTGCTCCTGCTGTCTGCCCTCACTCCCACGTACTGAATTTCTCCATCTCAGTCATGCTGGATCTGTCACTTGCCACGTGGCGCCGAGGAGCAGGCAAGCAGGCTGGGCCACGCGGGGATCGCTGCCCGGCGCCAGGGCCCTCCGCTGTGTCGTCTCCGTCTCTGCACCCAGCAGGCCCTGGGGCTCGCCTGCCGTGTGCACACGCCCGGGCCTGGCACACCTCTCACCTCGGCCGCTCCTAGTCCTCGGCCCAGCAGCACCTGAAATAACTCATCCTCAGCATCACACCTTGTGCCGGTGCCGTTTTTAATTGTTCAAAACATTTCCTCTTTCATCCCTTTACAGTGCCCACACGGTTCTGTGGGGGCGAGGGCATTCAACAAGGCAGCGTGCTGCGGTGGTGCAGACCTCAATAATCTGACGTCGCAAAGGCCAGTCAGCTGCCCTTCGACGGTGGGTAGACCGTGGCTTCCAGACAGATGTCACGGCTCCAGGCTCCGTGCAGGAGCTGTCTGTATTTACTCGGTGGGAATCAGGGCAGAAAGGGGTTCCTGTCATCACACCTGTGGCTATTTGTCCATGAACAGTCCTGGAATCCATTCTGCTCGGGAGAGTGGCGATTCAGGAGAAAGGTCACCGGACTTGGATCTGAGTCCTGGTTCTGCCATGGTGTGACACTGGGCAGCTTACCTCATCTGTCAGGGCTCTGCTGTCATCATCTCTGAAATTAGGGTGACCTAATACTTACACAGAAGGGCTGTGGTGAGGATGAAATTCGCTCCGGGTGACACAGATGAGAGGCGCCTGGAGGAGCGGCCCCCTCCCCACGCCCAGTTACCAGCAGGAGCGAGGCTTGTCAGTGTGGGCCACGGCAGGGGCAGCTGGTGCACAAGCAGCCTGGGCAAGGCCCCACTAGGAGCAAGCGCTTGCCCGCAGCACCCATCCATGCTCCTTCCTGAGGGCGGGGGTGGGGGGCGCGTGGGCTGCTGCAGGAGGGCAGGGCCGGGCCGACCTGGAGACTCAGCGCAGCCCTCCACACTCCCCTCGTCTCAGCTTCTCCAGTTTTAAAATCAGTGCGGTCACCTCAAGTCCCTCCCAGCAACTTCACTCCCTGAGTCAATTTAGACTGTGATGCACATTGTCTCGCTGCTAAAAACAAGGTTACTCCACTGGTGACAAGACCACCGCATCTGGCCGGTCGTCGGCACCGGACGCTGGGCAGTGCCAGGAGACAAGGAAGCCGGCTGCCGTTCTGGCCACCACACCGCCCCCGTCCGCCCTGCTACTCCCTTGGGGCTGCCACGCATCCCTCCCAGCTTAACCTCAGTAACTCTGAATGCCCCCTGCGTCTGCTACAGTACAGTCATCACTCGCACAAGGTGGCTGCGAAGGACAGCGTAAGGCAGACACGCCCACCTCAAACCGCCCTGAAGGCTCCCTGGAGCCGCCCGCAGGCGAGGTACAGGCGGCTGGGCCTGCTGGGCCTGCACAGTGCTCCTGACGCACAGGGACATCTGGAGTGACCGCGCTAGACTGCAGAAAGGAAGGTGGACAGGGCACGTGCAGATGGCGGGGTGACTGTCAACTCCCGGGGTGAATGGGGGAAAAAGACTCAAGTGCCTGCTCCCCGGCAGGGTTCTTTTTTAATATTAAGCCTGTGTGATTTCAACTCCTGTGAAGAGATTTGCTGCCATGAGCGAAGCGTGAGAGCACTCAGCACAGAGCCTGGCTCAGAGCAGTGCTCTGGGAAAGCCCACTGACTTCCAATTCAGAACAACATACACTCCGCTCTGCTCTTCTGAAAAGCCAGAGAGAATTCAGACACCTGCACCCTCTCCACCAAGTCACAAGGACACTCACAGCCCGTGAGGACTGACCACACCTCACACTGGAGAGTGGGGTGCAGGGATGGGGTGGGGGTAGGTTCTGAATCAGCATGTGTTTCGTCAGCTGATAAAAGTCCTGGATATGGGTGGAGACTAACCAGAAGCAAAGGTCCACAGTACCCCGACAGGGCCCTGCTTTACCCGGAAGAGCCAGAATCAAGACAAGCAAAGTCTGAAGGCTGGTGCACGCGGCGTTCTTACGTTGCTGATGTACTCGAGAGGGGTGAGACTGAAGGTGGGCAGGTCGTCAGTGAGGGTTTCTCCAATGCCGGCGGTGTTCCATCTCTGGGGAAGGAAGAAGAAGCCATCAATGTCCCAACCTCCCGGAAGCCCGGTGGGGTCCAGGTCATTGCCCCAGGGTCGCCTCCGCTCAGACCCGGCCTGCAGAACCAGCAGGGATTTCTCTGCTTGAGACCATCCCCTTGAAGCCCCAGAAAGAAAGCATCCTTCCTCTTTTCTCTACAGCAGAGGTCCACAGAAGAGAAACATTACTTGATGGAAGCCAATCCCTTCTCATCCTGAGGTCTGAGCTTCTCTAGTGCCGAGACTGGGGTGGGCTGGGGAAATTCCCTTCTGGCTTATTTCCGGCTGGGTGCAGGTAGCCTAACTCCTAGTTCTTCAGCACTCTGAAGATTTCAGGGACACCCTCAAGCTTCCAGAGAACACATGTGAGTCCCAGCTCTAGGAGGCCGGGGAAGCCTATTCTGGCTGCAGCAATATCCAAACCACGCCCACAATATTCCTTCACCAAGTTAACGCCACTGCTTTCCTATCTGCCTGCCCTCTGTATCTAATTCTCAACCAATTCAGAACTCGGAGGGAAGGGGCCAGGCAGACAGCTCCAAACCTCGTCCCTGCAGGCGGGAAGGCCACGAGGCCACGGCAGGGGCCTCCCGGCTCTCCAAGGCCGCCCACACCGGCGCACAAGCTTGCAGATCTCCGCTTGGCGCCCTTCACACAGGATCCGATTTCCTAACCCAGCCTGAGTCACCCTGAGCCGGCCTGGGAAACAAGGCCCCTTCGGGTCGGCCTCCCGGACTGGCCGCTGAGGTCAGTCGGCGGTCCTCTCGCAGCCACCTGACGCCTGATCTGGTTGCTTGATCCTTTAAGTAGCGTTCCGGGAATGCAATGGCCTCATCCACCCCTGGGCTCCCGGCCCAGGTGAGGCCTCAGCGTCTTCCCCACGCTCTCCTGCACCAGCGCCCACCTGCCGCCGCCTCTTTGCTCTAGGTAAGTTCTCTCTGGCCCACCCTTGCCCCGACAGTTGTCTAACCCCTAGATTCTTGCTAAGCATCCCTTTTTGCTACTTGTTTCCAGTGAACTCTACTGAGAAGAGCCATGCCGGGCACCCCCCGGGCCTAGTGTCCATGCTGTGTAGCCTCGTGCAGGCCCTTTCTCTCCAGAAGCCCTGGGGACCAAGAGCCCCTGACACAGCCCCCCAAACACACACCCTGTCCTCACCCTCACAGACCTCCACTTTAAAGGCACTCTTAAACGCAAGGAGCCAGAGCTGGGGGTTGGAGATGGCCCGCAGGACATGTGTGGTGCGGAGAGGGAGGACCAGGAGGATGCCCTTAGAAGTGAGATGGCTTTGCCTGACACGTCAACTGCAAGAGACAATGAGTGAGGGAGACAGAGGTGGAGGGAAGCTGGGACTGAAGAGACAGACCAACGCCAGCGTGCAGAACCTTGTGCAGAACCCCTCTGGCCCCCGACTCTGTGAGTCGTGACATCAGGACAACGGGAACCATGAACACTGGTTTGTGACATTAAGAAAGTAGTTTTAATTTTCTTTTTTAAGGTGCTTATCGTGTCGTGATTATCTGCAGAGTTCCGATGTGTTAGATAAGGGGGTGCATGTGCAACAGGATGGCCAGCGCTGGTCACTGTGGAAGCCAGGCCATGAGGACATGCGGGTCTACTCCGCTCTGCTCTGGCGCAGGAGTGACACTTTTCATGATAAAATTTTTTTTTAGTTATTTTTTGCATCATTGTGTCCCCGTAGAATCCCCACCACCAGTTCACCCGTGAACCTTCACGATCGCCCCTGTGCCCCTCTCTGGTTTTGACCCCTCTTCCTCCCTCGCAGAAGTCTCTGGTCTGAGCCTCCTGCTGGGCACACAAAAGCTCCATTTCCAGTAGTTCGAGGCCTCCGCACAGCTTCCCACAGTGGTTAGCTGCACCGGGTCTGCACCCCACCAGCAATGTAGGAGAGCTCCTTTTTCTCCACCATTTATCGTTTCCTGCTTTTTTGATGTGTGCCACTGTCACTGGTGTAAGGTGGCAACTCACTGTGGTTTTGAATAATGAGAAGTTTTTAAAGACAGACCAACATTGTGGCCCTGGGGTTCCAGGTGAGGGTTCTGCACAGGGAGAAGCAAGATCAGAGCGATGTATGAAGATCAGTGCAGCAATTCAGAGTGAGGGTGGGAAGGCAGCTCACTAAAAAGCCCGAGAAGTAGTTCGGAGACCACGCGAGCCTGAAGGAGGGCCGTGGCCAGAGAGCGAGGGAGAGACGCTTAAAGGGGCGGCACAGCCTGGAACCGCTGCTGGCTTTCTCCTGGTGGCAGGGAGCAGAGCCACGGGGGGTGGGGAGCAGGGTCTGGTGGTGGGGACAGACCACCGTCACCGGGAGGGTGTCCAGGGGCTGGAGACCTGGGAAACGCTTCCGGGAGGCCGTGGGAGCGGAAAGGTGGAGGGAAAGCAGATCCAGAGTGGAAGAATCTGGAATAAGGGTGAGGCAGAGTGGACAGAGGGAGGGAGGGGTAAAAGGGAAGGCAAGACGCGGTGGACTTGAAGAGGGCAACAGGGAAATGCTGTGGATAATATTTCAATTGTTGAAAATTTATTTAAAGTGTCCTTCACATGGGCTTTATCTATCCATCTGTCACCAGGTAATACAGGTAAACTTCAATAATCTATTTGGAAATGGAACACAGTGTTGGTTCATACTCTTGTAATGCAAAGGGCAGTGAATTTACCAGCAAACATTAAAAACAAACATTTAATGATCAGGGTTTAATTTTCAAATCCTTAAGGTCACAGTATTTGCCTTTGTATTATGAGCTGGAAAGCTGGCACAGGGGGGCCGGAGTGGGGAGCCCTCCTAATCTCCCAGCTGCTTTGTCCTCCCCAGCAGCCCCAGAGCCCAGGGAGGCTTGAACGAGAAGGCAAGATGCAGCCACCAACAAGTCATGAGCTCTGGAGTGCAGAAGTAGGGCCCGACAGGTGCGGAGCGCAGAACCCTTCTCAATGTAGAATTATGTAGGTTTCAGGACAGAAGGACAGAAGGTCAAGATTTTAAGCTTTGACAAAAAAAAAAAAGACAAAAGTAAGAGCAGCCAAATCCGGAGGTCAGAAAGGGCAGTGAGGTAAGGAATGCTGATCCCTCACCTTTGGGAGCTGTGAGGAGCAGTAAGATGCATCTGAACAATTAACAAAAACCACACAGGGCTCCGTCTCTTAAGAGTTCCCATAATTTTTCTTTTTCTTAACTCTGAAGAGATCTGGGAAAAAATATCTTCTGTTGTAGAGAAAACCATTATCTCAAATTCAGCCATTCCTTTGGCTTCATTTAGCTTACTGTTTCCTGGTTAAGTGCAAGTAGAATTTCTCTTGTGAATATCATTTTTCAAAAGCGGCCGTGCAGACAGGCAGCTCGTTCTACCCCCACAGAGGGGGCGGCCCAGCCCTGAGCATGTGAGTGGGCCTGGGCCCCTGGGCCCAGTGTTTACACTGATTACTTCTAGACGGTGGAGTCTAGACGGGATTTATTGTCTTTTTCTTTGTACTTGCCGATAATTGCTTCAATTTCTGAAAATGAACGTAATTTTTTGTTTTAAAAACCTGTCATTCCTCTTAAAAAGATGAGACTCACAGAAAGGAAGAAAACACCTCCTTGTGGCAGGGGCTGAGCTCAGTTCTACTGCACACAGACCTCACCTAGTCCTCAGCACCCGGCGGGGAGAATGACTCAGCCCTGACAGGCGAGGCCCACAGGGGCAGGAACAGCCCCAGTGTGCGGCCCAGAGCGCAGGCCGCAGCGCGGGTCATCACCTCCCTGCCCTGATGCAGTGGCTCACCCACCTGCACCCTCCCAGAGCTGGGAAAGCAGAATCTTGCAGGGCCACCGTGTCACGCTACGGATGAGGTGTCTGAGAGGCAGGGAGGGGCTGAGACATGACCATCCCAGACCGGGCAGGTTCATGGCTGGCAGACAAACGGAAAGAGAATCTGGGAGCGCTGGGAGCTCTGAGAGGCCTCAGACGCTGAAGCAGACACAGGGAGACCGGCTGGCAGGGAGAAGGCGCCCCGGGATCCTGGCGCGTAAGGATCCTCCCTTCTCGTAAGGATCCTGCT